GTTTTATGTGCCCTCCATTTTGGGACTCAATTATATGCTGGCCGCACACGACAGCTGGTGAAAAGGCAGTTGTTTCATGCCCCCCGTATTTCACAGGTTTCAGAGAGGTGAGCATGAGTAATTTTTAATTTTTTATCTTTTATTTACCTTCCACGATTTTAAGTAAGGAGTGATAAATAATTTATTATAATTGTTTGACAGCTTATAAAGTTAATTTTGTATGCTTAAAATAGTTAAAATAGTAGATCGATATTTAAAGGAAATTACTGTTCTATTTAATAACCATATTATTTATTCTCTTTGATATTTTCAAGAAACCAAATGCGATACACAGTAGGAAGTCCCGTTGAGTTTAATATACTTAGTCGTGTGGTGTTTCTCGGAAAATTTAATAACCATGTTTGAGGAATGGAACGATGCATTTGAGAAAGGAAGCTGAGAGGAAACAGATTTCTTAGAGCCACTTTACAGTTCACAATTTTCCTGTTTTGTAAATAAAAATGCGATAATTCGTATTGCACGTCTGTACACTAACGGCCTGTCAATTAGCTATTTCAATTTTTTGTGTAACAGCAGAAAATAGCGAAAAATCGAAAATTTTGTAAACTTCACAAATAATTAAATGTTTATTTTACGTATGAAGTTTATTAATATTAAAATAATGTTATAAATAATATAGTTTATTTGAATATGAATTTTTATGACCCAGGAGATAAACCCCAATATAATATCATAAATCAATAACGGAAAATTTCTAAAATATAATGTTTAGCGTTATTTGTTCCAAAATAAAATCTTTGGTTTTCTTCCTAAAATTTTTAAAAATGCCAATTTATTTCAATTCTTGTCTTAAATTTTCTAGTCATATTAATCAACAAAAATAAGGCATGTAATCTTTAAAGGTATAGAAAATATTTACAATTTAAGATGTTTTAGTTAAGATTTACATTTCTGTTTGTATAGTCCTGTGATTGTAACACGCAGAATTGTTAGTTCTCTATTTTAATAATAGGCGATAAAAAGCGATATTAATCAAGTAATTTGTGCAATAAAAATGGCACAAACGTCTAATTATACTCCTGTGAAATTAAAGTGCATATGAAAACTTTAGTGTTAAATGTACATGACGCTCTTGTACATAAACATATCAATAGAACTGTTCAGAGTTTAGACTTTTGAAGCAACGAAAGGATGGAAGTATTACAGTAGCACCTAAAACGTCAACTGGGAGAAACCCCTTTTAAATAGACATTGTCATGAAACAACTGATCCAAAGAAAAGTGCATTCGTTATATTTGTAATAAAAGATACCTACTTTGGATAAACTTTTAGTAGACATTAATGGAGACGAAACTTTGCCAAACGTTAAAAGAGACAAATTATGGAAAACTTTACATTAATTAGACTTCGTTTGAGAGACGTACGATAGAAAATCTGCGCTCGTAGAGAAGGATGAAATTATTTGTTGAAGGAGGCAATATTTAAGGGAAATTAGAAAATTTAAAAAAAAGAGGAAATATTTTTTATTTGAATGAAACATGGATAAATAAAGGACATTTTATAAAAAAAAAGTTTGGCAAGATAAACAGCTTATAAATGCTCGTAAGGCATTTATAGAAGGTTTGTCTACTTAAAATTTCCATATTGGAGGAGTGAAAGACTACCATGAAGAAATTACTGTTAATGTTTTTGAGCATAGACACGGAATCCCCGGGGGCTGCAGTGTTAAACTGGGCGCGGAGCACCCATAGCACAACATGGACAAAAAGTGCCAATAAGTGAAATGAAGAAGCTGTCGTGGCCACAGTTGGTAGAGCGACAGGATGCTTCGATGCGGCATTTGTTTTTCAATGGCTGTCAGAGTTGTGACGTTGCAACTTGCAATAATCCTAATGCAAAATATTAAACCCATCTTCTTAAGACCCAACTTAACTTTTTTCTTAGGTTAGAAAACGATTTTACAAGTAATGCCAGACGTCCACATACTTTGATTTTCTTTTACTATACGGAGAATGATCGCACTGCGCAGCTTTCTGAGTGCCTTTTAAAAGGAGATAGAAAACTCCGCCATTTTGATCACTTATTACGTGTTGCCTACATCTTGGCGCAATATTTTTAGTAGGTGCGTTTTAATCATCCGCTTCTGCTTCGGAATTGTCGGTTTTCTTGTTTTAATCTGACAGGTTAAAACGACCCAGACAACACACCAAATCCCAGAGATATCCACAGAATATCTTTTGTGGATATCCAATATATCCACAGGATATCAGAAATATTCCGTGGATCTAATATGGATATCCAAATGTCCGTCTATACCCAGAATATAAAAGATATCCTAATGGATATCCAGCAAAATATCTAATAGGTATCTTCCAGAAAATACAAGAAATCCCAGAGATATCCACAGAATATATTTTGTGGATATTCAATATATCCAATATGGATATCCAACCAAATGTCCGTCTATATCCCAGGATATAGAAGATATTCAGATATTCAGCAACATATTTTATCTTTAATAGAGGTTTATAAGTAACCAATGATTATTGAATAACGTCAAAAGAAAATAGCAGAGATAAAAAATATTTTCAACACTCTGTCTTTGATTTTGCCCACTAAGGAGGAAGTCATCCTTATTAGGAGCAATAAATGGAAATTCTCGACTCCAGTCTCTAATGGAATCTGAATGGAACAAAAATTTCGATCGAACTCAATTACGGCGGGTCAAGCATGAGTAGATGCGAAAGTGGTATCGCCATCTATTCTTAGTAAGCAAAATCAAATAACATCTACTGGATATCCACGATGGTTTGCGTTCGCGCCTAGACTTTGATATATTTAGTGGATGTCCATGGGATATTGAATACACCTTAAAAAAATGAATTTTAAATATCTGAACGGTACTATTAGCCACAATGGCGTAATTTTTTAATAATTTGCTATATAATTACTATTATTTATGGACATTTGCATGTCTATAAATTACATATCATGGATATAAAATAGATATCCACCATGGACTGGACATTCAGTGGATATTGGGATGTGCAGTAGATATCCAAAGGAGTTGGTGTGCTGTCTGGGGACTAAATCGACAATTCCGGAAGAAGAAGCGGATGATTAAAAGGCACCTGATATTTTGCTGTCAGTGTCAGTGAATATTATTTTTGGAGTCACAGTTTATTGCTAAAGAATCAGTTAGCTCACTCGCCCAGTTGAAAGTTCCAAAATAACATCCACTCCAGGGATACAAATTCAGGATACGCAGAAGACTGCTGTTTTATTATAGGCGGTTATCATATATTGTATTATCTGAGTTGCGCAGTGTATAAACTGGAACATTGAGATCAAAAGTGTCGACGTAGAGTGAACGATCTGATTCTTTAGCTATAAACTGTGGCATAGGAATCAAAATGGCCGCGCCCTATGTTGGGCGTGTCGGACCTCTCTCTTGCACCGTATAGTAATCAAAGTATTTGAAGACGTCACTTTAAATTTCGATCTCTTAATGTCAACAAATACGTAACACGATGGGTTTAAAAAAACGTATGTCTAGAATTAGCACTGTTGCAAATTGGCGCCACCTCGTCGACAGTACATTTTTAAATCTTAACACAAGTTTGCTGAAATAATTAGGACAAAAATAAAAGAGTGTATTTTGCGTTTTAGCTTTTAAATACTATAAAAAATGGTAAAAAGTCCATAACTTTTAAATATTTGTTAAATATCACTTAATAAAATTTTATGCATTAAAAGTAAAACAAACTATAGACTCTCCACCATTCTTTACCGTACTCTGAACCCATTTTTAAAAACAATTTCTGAAAATATTATCGTTCGGCGCTGTATTTTTTGTGATAAAAAAAATCGCCGTCACTTGTCATAAACAACGCGTTGAACTTGGACTCAAGGGTTTATTATTCTTGGTGTATAAAACCCTATGACGTCAAAAAAGAACAACTATTAACGGTCTACAATTATCAAGACAAGAGCTCTGTACATATGTTATCGAGCAAATGCTTGAAAGGAGAAGGGAGAACATTTGGAAATTGTTCCATATCATAAAGCACCGTTAAAAAAAAACGTTCATTTATTTAGAGTCAGAAACAGCTCCCTAGTAGTGCTCGCGAGTAAACCAGGTCATTTACTAAAAAACGCTCGAACCCGTCAATTTTTGATTTTAGGGGGAACATTTTTTTTGGCCAGTTTCACTCCCTGAACGGAACCCCTCTAGCGGGGGTGAGACTCACCCCTACAATCTTAAATGGATAGAGGGGTTGAATGATATCTTATTTTGAAAGTATTTTTACCTAGATAATAATAGAGTTTTACAACGCTACTATCTCCGTAGCTGATACAGTGGCTCACCAAAAGTACAAAACCGGTTTAACATAATTTTTACATTAGGCGTTTTCGGAAACTTACTCAGATAGATCCCATTGTTCGCTTACCCACGGTTACATCCTTGTTCGGAAACTAGTAGATTATTGTGATCGAAATCAATATTTTGTGACCCATCCTACGAGTAGATTATTAAAAGATCCGCATGCGCACTGCAGAATTTTATAAAGGGATAACGCAATTTTTTGGTGTTTAGTGTCTGACAGTAGTAGATAAGAAGTTTTTTCTACATTTCTTTAGTTATAACTTGTAATCTTTATGGCCATATTGCAACTTTATTAGTCAGACTACAATTATGTTTTATTAAAATAGTTATTTAACAAATAAGGGGGAAAAGTCAAAGATTGACAGACGTAAATGAACAGGAAAAATAATCCAACTCGTTCGTAAACGGTCGGCACTAAATTAAGTGAGCCACGTGATCCATCAGGTAAACCCAGCAATCTGGATTTGTTATTTACAGTAGATTTCCGAAAACGCCTATTCTTATTTAAAAAAAAGGAACATTTACCAAAATTTTAGAAGTATAGTGTAGATGAAATAGCAAAAAAATATGAAGTTAAAGTGTTGCGGTTATTACCTTATCACTGTGAGCTTAACCCCATTGAACTAATCTGGGGCTCAAATGAAGTTATATGTCTCGAGAAACAGTACAACATTTAAACTTCAAGATGTTCGTCAATTATTATGTGACTCCATATCAAAA